AAATGCAAGTTTGCTTCCTTGGTAGACCTCAAAGGATGCCAAAGGCCAGGCAGTTTCTGTCTCCGCACATGGCATACGCAGAAATAGGGCCCCAGTTCATGGGCTTGCACAGGCAGCCCCAAATGCCACATGCCCCTGCTGCTCTTCCCCTGGAGCCACGTCCCTAGCCTAGGGCTGAGCGTCACAACACAGACCATCCCAGTGTTAGGGGATCTCATCCCATCTCATCCCTCTCTTCCAGAGTATCCCCTCTCAGGCTTAAAAAGTTTTATTTTAAGAGACGGATGGGCTTCATGCAGCGAAACCCCCCTGCATTCTACCATAGTATTTGGTCCTCCATGGAACAGAAAGGGATGGGGATAGACACAGCCCAGTCTAGCTGCAGGGCCAGCCCTGGTCCCTCTGCTCGGGGGGCTGAGCAGCACAGTGCCCAAGGGGGTTGGAGGTGGACCAGGGCTGGTGGTTCACAGATGGATGCGTAGAAGCAACTCTACGCAACAGTGCTGGTCAATGGGGAAATCTCTTTGGCTGAAGAGGACTTGGGGCTTGGGGGAAATTTGGTTATCATTGGTGCACGAACCAAAGCTTATTCCGAAAAGCTTTCTGGGAGCTTCTCAGAAAAGCATCTGTCCTTAAGTAATTGTAAAACACCCAAATTAGGGGCATATAAAAGAAATATAATAAAATCATCGGTTTTAAGGTTAGGCAAGAGTGATCATCATGGAAATCCACTTTCTTGTCTGCTTTTGTGCATGAGGATGTTCAGAGCCTGGCTGCAGTCTGGCATTTTGCAAAGTTTTTCTGCTTCGGATAAATCCAGCTCAAAAGAGATGTCCTGAGCGTGAGGCCCAGCTAGGTCCCAAGGCCGGGAAAACACTCATGCTACGACCTTGTCTTGTCCAATGGAAAGACTCAAAACGAAAAAGACAAGCAACCCGTGTCCTGAGGAGTGAAAACATCCTCAAACACATCCAGAGCCAGCTTTAAAGGGCTTTAAAATAGCTTATTTGCTCGCACAAAAGCCTGAGCACTTTCCCCAGCATCATCAACTAGCTGAAGCATTCAAATTCAAATCAGAAGCATTCTCTTTTGTCTACTCAAAGGCACACCAGCTGACAAGTTAGAGGTTTCCCTCTGTGAGTGGGTTTTTGAAGAGGAAAATACCTTGATGCTTGTCAAAGGCTCAGGGATGATAGCCCAAGCCTGACTGCTACACATCAACACTTTCCACCCTCCTTAAGAGCAAGGGGCGTAAAAATAAACAGAGAGGGAGAAAACGAATTGCTTTGCCATGGGCTTACATCCACAGCAATAATTTCTACAGGAATATGTGATGCTGGTGGGTCAGGTTAAAGATGGGTTCAGGGTGCTGCACTGTGGAGAGGAAAGGACCAAGATGTTCACTTCACTGCATAACGCAGCAGGTTTCTTACCAGTAAACAGTGCTCCTACCTGTGGCTAAAGAAATCTAGAAGAGGAAGAACGAAAATTCTTTTCACTGGAGCACCCAGCAGTCCCACTTTCTGTACCGTGCATGTTTCCACATCCTGAAGTACTTCATTACCTACCGAGGGAGATGTGCTGCACCCGGAGCACCTCCTCTGATAGCCTTGGTCTGTACTGAAAGTGTCCACCTACCATAGCTCAAACGTGAAATCCTGACGGCACCTGCAAATTGGACTTGGAGAATCTTTTACCACAGAAAGGATCATTAAAGAAAAAAGGAGGGAGGGGGGAAATGAAGACTGATGGCTTCCAGTCTAATATTTTCATGGAAAATGCGTCAGGTTAGGTGACAAAAATAGAAGTTGACTAAAAGATGCAGTGAGCGTCAGGAGCAGGTGCTGTGCCCTGGCGCTGCGTCGCCACCACTATGAGTCTTGCAACGGAGTTTTTCCAACAGGGAAGAGCCAAAAAATAGCCCAGATCTACTGTATACATGTTGCACTGTAAACAAAATTCAACTGCCTGGCGCAGCTCACGTGGGGTACCTGGCACGCTGCGCTCATTTGCATGGGGGCTCATTAAGCTCTGGCCGGAGCTGCGGCTCGATTGCAAAGCTGGACAGATGTCATCGGTCTGGCTGCCGGTCGTACACACCAGGCCCCCACCCCCAGCTATGAATAGCCATTCAGTGCTCCCTGCCGAACTGATTTGGAAACATTTCGCATGAGGTCAGCCTGCCGATTAAACAGGAGAGCTCACAGCGTGCCCGAGGCCACCCAGAGACCAGCTGCTCGGCTGGAGGGCCCTGGCGTACATCTCTCCTCACCACCTCATCTGACATTTACTTGGAGATGGGGTGGAAGCTCTGCGCTCTGGGCACACAAAGGCCAGAAAACCCTTTTTGCTGGGGGCTGTTGCCCGTGGAGACCTACGAAGCCTCGGCAGCAGATCCCGTGGGGCACAGACAGCCTCCCAGGGCTGGTGCCACAATACATCCGTGTGGCACGAGTATTTTCTCGTTGCAACCCCTGCGTTGGCCGCTTTCCACCCTAGTTACCTCTGAACCGAAGGCTTTGTTTCCCTCCAACTTCTGCGCTTGGTGCTGGCCTCTGTGTCCCTCGGACGGCGCGGTTCCTGCCTCCGACCCCTCTGAGGACGACGGAGCATCCTCTGCCTGCCTGCTGACTGCCGCAGGCTGCAGGGCAGCCTCGCTCGCAGCCTCTTCTTTGGCTCCTGCCTCCTCCTTCCCTGCTGCCGGCGCCACTTGCTTGTCGAAATACATCTCTTTCAAAGAGAAGTGCACGTCGCCATTGATGTTAGCGTCCCGATTCACAGCTTTCCCGGGCTCTTTGGTTTTTGGACTGCTTTCCGCTTCTTGATCGTTTGCCACCCTCAAACGCACATTCCTGCGTAAGGGGACAGGAGGGGCAAACCTTGGATTTGTAGGGGGGTTGGGCCTGTCTCGCCCACTTTCTTCTCGCTTGGAAACGTCCTGCTTTGCTGGTGGAGGAGCCTCCACCTTCTTTTTCTTTTTAGCTGCGGAGTCTTTCGCCGTTGGCTTAGTCGTTAGGTCCTCTACCGTCTCGTAGATGTACGCGAGAAAGCTGTTCCCGTTCTCCTCCACGCTTTCCAAAGAGGCATCTCCATTGGTGGTCACCTCTGCTTTCAAAGGCGCTATCAGTTTGTTTGGAAAGCCCGTCATCGCACCGACCGTCTGCTCCTTCGGCTCGGCAATATCCTCATGTAATCTGGACTGAGAGTCAGCGACGTGCACTTTTGCTGCATCCTCCTTCTCCCATGGAGAGGCTCCTGACTGGAGATTCAGATCCCTGGCCAGTCTCCGCTTTCTCTGGAGCCGATCGGGGCTCATTCCTTGCAACTTCTCCACCTCCACATTTTCTTTCCCTCGTTTCTTGCCCTGCTCGATCTCTCGCAGCTTTTCTTCAGCTTTTCTCTTAATTTTGTCAAACCACTTCTGATGGATTTTGAACTCCGTCATGGTTCCCACTTCCAGCACACCAGAGCAGGACACAATGCCTTTGTGATTTCTAGCTGAGGCCTGGTAAATGCCCGCATCTTCTTCTTGGCACCTGGAAACCAAAAGCTCTGCATGAGACCTCCCCAGGCACTACAGCTGGGCACACAGGCATGCACAGTCTCCTGCTTCTTGCTCCAGAGGGGCCAGAAGACGAAGACACGGCCCTTGAGGTGCCCACAGTAGGTCTGGATGCCTGGGGCTGGCCTCCCTCCCCAGGCTCTGAGTGTTCTCAGCACTAGCAGATAAGCAAGTTGGACTTTAAATCAGTGCCCAGCTCCTCCCTGGGCTGTAACTCTGATAAGAGAGGACTATGATGGAGGAGGAACAGCTAGCACCAGGCTTCCTGACCATTCTTGGCCATGTTCCTCTGTAGGATCTTCTCCTCTCAGCTCTTCACAGTCTACATGACATTTCTGTTCTTCCTCCACCCTACTGCCTTACCGAAGTCTTCCCACCTCACTTCACAGGCACCAGCACAAGCATGTGCATGCCATCTCTGCTGTCACCCCTGGGAGACGCCTGGCCCATGGAGATCCCTGCTCCTGTGAGAGGTGAGCCAGCCTCTGATGGAAACCTGGAGCACCCTGGGGTGGTAGAAAAGCCCAGGCTAGAAGCACGAGGGTAACAGGACTATCTGCAATACCAACATTCTGCACTTTCAGACAGTGCAGCACCTGTCTGACATCTCAAACCCAGGACTCGAGGTGCAACAGGTCTCCGCTTGCTGGGGACACAGTGTGCCTGGCTCTCCAGGAACACAGTCCTCGTTTCGAGTTAAAAGAAGCTGGTAGTCAGGGCTGGATAAAGGAGGCCCTTGGCTGCACCAGTTGAGTGCCAAGGCAGCCCTTGCTTTCCCTGACCTCATGGTGAGAGCTAGGAAAGGCCCTCCAGCAACAGGGCTGCAGCCCCTTCCCCTCTTTGCCCTTGCTTAGGACACTTGTATGAACTGTTTCTGTCCTTGTCCTGCCTGATCTCCTGGACCATCATCCTGGAGGCAGCCAGTGCTTTCCCTTCGCTCACTTTTGTCCAGCCCTAATGCTCAGCTCCTGTCCGGTGCAGCCATAGCACGCTGCTATCAGCACTGGAAGGCTCCAGAGAGAGGAATTTCTCCTGATCTTCCTCTTCCTTCCAGCACAGCAGCTATCTCTGGATGCAGTAATGGATCTCGTACTGATGTGATCAGGGAGACATCAGAGCGAAGAGCTGAAGGGGAAGGGACAGCTGGGAACATCACAATGGGGAGCAGAAGGGGCCAGCGTGGGTGCTGGGGGGGGGGATCGCTGCTGACATCCAGCTCCTCCAAATACTGAAAACACGGTCAGAGCTCCCATCACCAAATCCAGCCACTCTCCAGCTTCTTTACTCACTTGTACAGCTGCAGGGTGTGGCGATTTCCATGACGGAATATCTCATACTTGGGTAAGCCACAGTAGCGGTCCATCTCTTTATCATCCTTGTACCACGTCACCTCCGGCTGCGGGTATCCTGGGGAGGAGACGGATGGTCACACGTCAGGGTGCGAAACATTGCCACCAGTAGCACAGCAAGCCTGCTCCCGCCAGGACAAGGTATCAACAGCAAAACGAAAGGCTCCGGCAGAATAGGATACATGTTATTCTGGGCTCACCGCGTTCTTTAGATCACACAGCAGAAAAAGTATTGTGAGTGGAAACCTGCTGGGCTTGTCCAAGTCTTTTGTCACTCCTAGGGCTATTTTTGAGAAAAAAATCCCAGCACTTCATTCCTGAACAGAGAGGAGTGGATCACACGGTCATCTCCTGTAACACTTGCCGGGAGGAGAAGGTGAGCATACTGTCAGTTTTATACGAAGAGGCATGTTTTGATGAGACCAAGGCTAAGGTTAGAAAACAGGCATTCGCCCCTCCATGGAGCTCACAGCATTTCGCTAAGTGTCACAGCCTGTAAGCTGATCCAAAAGTTTCCATCGAACAGAAACAACCTTGATTGCATCACAGCCAGCTTGGTGTCCTACAAATGTCACTTGACAACAGATGTCACCTGCCTTTTCAGTAGAATGACATCAGGATGTGTGTGACTGGCTGGCTAGCAGGCTGGGCACGCAGCTACATTCCCCGCCCCCAACAGCAGTGGTGGATCAGCACTGAGTGCCCTACATGGACCAGTGCTAGCCATAGCCCTCATCTCCCTCCGGCAGCAGCTCCAGTTTAGAACAAGAGCAGTCTTCCCCTGAAAACTGCTTGAGCCAGTGGCCAGCATTGGTTCTCATACTTCACATGGAGCTCCCAGCACAGCCAAGCTGACCCTAAGGGCATGGGATAAAAGTTTCAATGATCACATCATGCCTCAGCTTAAACTGGTGCACTCAAAACTTTTTTGAAGCCCCGGGGCAGGTATCTGAAGATTATCTCCTGCAAATGCCCCTTCTGGCTTTCCATGCTGCCAAAGTGAAGGAGCCTAGCACACTGCTCACCTCCACCAGTCCCCAAGGGTCTCCCCACCAGCCCCGGCACCCCTGAATGCAGCAGGGGGTCAGCTCTCATGGGCAGCCCTAGCGCAGGACTGGAGAAGGCTCTCCAGGAATACCCAAAGTGTCCAGACTCAATATCTCTGAAGTGGAGAGAGGGCAGGGACAGAGCACTACCTACCTGTCCTGGATTCTTCCCAGCTGCCAACCCACAGGTTTCAGGGCTGACCAGGACCCTTTTCATCTCCAGGGTGAGGAGACTCCTACTTGCACCAGCCAGAGATGCTGGCAGCCTGCAGCGATGCCTGACACTGGGTTACACCTGCTCCCATGAAGGTCCCACAGTCACCCTGGTTTTGGCCAATTCAGCATGTCTTTGACCAGCAAAGCAGCATATGCCAAATCTCCTTCTCATGTACCATTTGGTTCCCCTCACTCCAATCTGCTCTTCTGATACATTCCCTGTCCCTTTCTTGTTGGGGCTCTCCAGTGTCCTCAAAGGACTTAGCCCACTGGAACCAGATGGGGCTGGGGAAATAGTCTCAAAATACTGGTTTTGGCCAATTCAGCATGTCTTTGACCAGCAAAGCAGCATATGCCAAATCTCCTTCTCATGTACCATTTGGTTCCCCTCACTCCAATCTGCTCTTCTGATACATTCCCTGTCCCTTTCTTGTTGGGGCTCTCCAGTGTCCTCAAAGGACTTAGCCCACTGGAACCAGATGGGGCTGGGGAAATAGTCTCAAAATAGTTTTCCTTTCCTGCTCTACTCCATGAACAACGGCCATCCCCAAAGCCCAGACAGCTCCGCAGACCAGATTTTACTCTATTATCTGCCTTCCCTCACTGAGGTCCCTTACCCTGCACTGCCCCTGGCATCTACCCTCTCCGTCGTCACTGCCTGTACATCTCTTGCATCCTTTGATGCCTCATTTCCCTCCCACTGCTGACATTGGCAGCTTTGGCTTTCTGCTGCTTAGTGCCTCGTTCCTCCTCTTCTGCAGGAAGCCAAGTCATGACTTTCTCCTGAAGCCCTTCCTGCAAGGCTCTCCATCCTCCCTTTGGTCTCTGTTTTACCATGACCTGCTCTTTGCTGCTGCTCTGGCCCTCTGAGTCAGTTTTTAGAAGAAGTGCAAAGCCCTCAGATACTTGTGGCTGAAGCAAATGAGCCCTAAAGCACTCACTGGAGGAGGCCACAAGAGTACCCCAGTGATGGGATCACCAGGGATCAATTCTGCTGCTTATATTTTCCATAAACATTCTACTGGCTGTACTTGGTAGCAGGACCTTGGGCTGAATGAGCCTGTGGCGGTTTCTTTCCGCTCCAGGGACGAGGAACAAAACAATTTTCACACACAGCTCACACTTTGCCCAGAGCAATCCTACCCTTCCCAAGGGCTGTTCTGCATGTGAGACCTTCAGGAGGCCCCCACGGTTCATAACACAGGGAGTTGGCAGGTAGATTTCCCTAATACCCTGTGAACAGCAATCCCAGCACGTCATTCTGGGAACTGCAAGTGTAGCGTTTCCGAGAAGTCCTGTGATGTCCCCCCGTGGCCCCTGCAGTGATTCCTGTTCCCAGCTGACATCTGTTGGAAAGAGCTGCATTTTCTATAGCTGCAGAGTGCCTCGACGAAAGGCTTTTCCTCCTGTTAAGCCTGAACTCCCTTTGACCTATAGCACTTGTGTCCTTGAGGCTACCTGCTCCCTACCAGGGG